AACAGGGAGCTGAGTCACCCCCCCTTCGCACACAGAGGAATGGCAAAAAATAAACACAAACAACCTCTATCCAGAGCAATTTGGCCAGGAGACACAAACTATGCTCCAAGCAAATATTCTGTGTTCTGCTTTAAAAAAAAAAAAAATCCCAATAATGGGATGCAACAAAATCTAGCAACCACCAAGAGGCTATGTCTTCATTTCTGTCACCAACTGGTTAAGTCACTTCAATGAATGATGTGCCAGCAATAAACACTGCCCACCTCACCTCAATTACTAAATAAACACTATTATTACTAAACACTTTTCACAACATCTTCAAGACTGCATGTGTTAACTACCAAAGGCAAAAGAGCTCTACAGCAAAGACTAGGCCAAGGAATCTGGAATGCCAAAGTCCTGAAGTTTGGCTCACCCAATCTCATTTTTACCTTAAATGTCTAAATGAGCTTCACACGCCACTCCAACTGGCAGCTTTTCCTACCTTTTTCTACTAGGTTTTATATGAAACCGGTCTCAAACGATTTGGTCAGGATTCCCTCCATTAATGAGCAAACTGCTCATAAGAGTCCTTGAATCAGCTTGATAAACCCCGACTGCCAGAAATCTCAAGAACTACTATTTTTCTTTTTTGGGGGGAGAGGTTTTTGCTATAGGGCGCATGTGCTCCCCAGAGAGAGAGAGACAGAGAGACAGAAAGCGAGAAATCACCCCCCAGGGGGGATAGTCACGCTGCAATCCCTTCTCCTCCATTCTCCTCTTGGGATCTTGGGCACACACACACACGAGCCCAGTGTGCGTTTTAAGCCACCGGGTCCTGAACGCGAATCACGGTCGACTACATGGGAGTCCAATAACATAGCCATTATGCTCACTGCTGGTTCCAAGAACTATTCTTTTTCCTTTCCCGTGTCAGTAGCAATTCTGTGAAGACACTGTTTAAGCACCTTGCCCAACTCACTATTTGCTGTCTCTCTCAACACTGCTTAGAAGCAATTGCTTTAGTAGCAGAAGAAAATATAACGCTACCTACAGAGACTGGGAAATAATTTCAGTAGCGACTTTCACCATCGAAGTATTTACTGCAACTGGATCTGGCCTACGTGAAGAGATGTTTCCAGGGATCCAATAGCCAGAAAAATACGAAGTGAACAAGTAAACCAACCCTTAAGACAGCCATGACCTTCCCATCAAGGAAGGTAAAAGATGGATAAGCAAAGAGTGGAGGTGGAGGCACTCTTAAATGACATTACAAATTAGGCCCAATCTGAAATCACCTTCCGTTCGATTATGTGAAAACATACAAACTAAACAGTCAACTGTTCATCTTGGACTTGCCAGGCCATAAACAGCCAGGAAAGCCTTAGTTTCCACAGATTAAAAAACAATTTTCCCTTGATTTTCCCTTGGGATCAGCCTTCCTGGCTCAAGAAAAACCACATTAGTGGCTTTCTAAAATAGCTGGCTCTACTTACAGAAAATTCTGGCTTATCAAGAGTCAAAAATGTAAAGCTTCAGAGCAAGTCGAAACCTATCCAGGAGATATGGTAGGCTATGAATTAGAAAGTCTTTTTGGTGAATTGGATTTTCTTTTGAAGACCAAGTTTGAGAGGAGTAAAAAAAAGGGGTTTCATGACCAGAACATCCATATTTTCAGGATCACAACTGATTCTATTTCTACTGGGAGACTTTCATTGCTTCAAAATTAAACCACCCACCCAGAGAAAGTAATTCAAAAGGTTACAAGTGTATAAGAATTGCTGTTAAATCAGGGATTCTGAATGACACCCTTTTCTTTCTTTTTGCAACATCCATTAATTTGATTTTTAACTAATACTGGTACATCAGTTTGGGGAGAAAAAAAAAAAAATGCAGTACTGACACATTTCAAAAAACAAAGGTTACCAAATAGCTTGCCTTAATTACTGGGACTTCTTGGACTTGATGGATGAGATTCCTTTGAGAACAAAAAAACAATAAACCCTTGTGTCCATATGCCTGAGTTTTCTAAATATTTGGGGGAAACTTTTCAAATTCAGTGAAGGATTCCCAAAGTTTTCACTTACAAAAGAAATCCCATTTCCTTCACATTGCATCTTAAAAGAAAATTGAAGTACATATCCTTCCATAATGTAATAGCCCTGGAAACTTGGAAGGGTTATCGATTAACATTCCAAGTTCTGCTCTTAGCTCCAAAAGGAATTTTACAAAGGATAGGAAACTTCAAGTAAGTGCCATTCCTTTTTGGCTGACCCAACTAAGGGATGGTGTGTTCGGTTCGTGCTTCAGACATTTTTTGCGGGACACTACATAAAGTTTGAAGACTTCCTCCTGGAACCAATCTTACATACCTAAGATCACCGTTTCATGGCAGTTAAGTTGTGAACGTAAGAGGAAGAGCAAAACAAGTGGTCTACTGAATTGCAGTTCACATTTTCTTATCTAAACGTGGACATTTTTCTCCAAAGAATGGAAAAAGGAAACAGGGTCTTGCTGGAGGGGACTAGGGCTTTGTGTTAAAAAGGTTTCTCTAACAAAGTATGTCAGGGACCAAAAGTGGGCAAGAGGGAAAATGGAACTTCAACGTGTTTTGTCTTTTAACGGAAGAACTTATGCTTGTAAAACACATCAGAAGTACAGTGTTTGTTTCTGCAAGTCATTTCTGTTGCTGTTTTTTCCTTGTATGTGTAAGATAGGGGACTGGGGGCTGGAGGAGGTGTTCTCTCCAACATGACTAGACGTGTAACACGTTTGCATCAACTTTTCACGGTCAGGCATGTGCTTTCGAACAAAGGAGCAGTGCAGACGGCAGAGATGGGGGCTTGACACAGTTTACAGACTTTTGTGCTTAAACAGTACTTTACAAATGACTTGCTCAATTTAAACATCCATTACCATAAGAGACATAGTAGTAAAATGAAGAAACTGGATCTTTTTGAACCACAATCTTTTGGGGAGGGGGACTGGGACATATTAACCTGAATGCAAGTATCATAAAGCAAATTCAGTAAGCCTGTCTCCTACCAATGGACTTGAAGTATCCACTTTCTTCAAGATGAAGGCAGGAGACAAAGCACCGGACTGAAAGGGAGACTGGGATGCCCAGGGTTTGAAAATATATGGGCCTTTTACATAGATTTTTGTCATGTTACAGTAACACACTTTTTTTTTTTTTGAGAAAACTGTGTACATTACATTTTTAAAATTACTTAAAGGATGTGCAAGTCTAAAAGGGCTCAACAGGGTTAGAATCCTGATTTGAACATATAAATTCACTCTCTCAAGCATCACTTTGGTCTAAAGAGGAGGAAGGCAGGCAGAAAAGGGACAAAAAGAGGGAGATAATTTAATTACTCAATAAAAGAGGCTACTTACCATCCCAACCCATTGTAAGACATACACTTCTGACATAAGAGAACTCCTTAGAGGTCGAGTAAAGCGTGTAAGCACCTTTGAGTAATGCACCTGCCCCAGAGGGGGCCCGGAAGCCCAACGTGGGCTTAGCGAACAGACCTTTTCTAATCTGTTTATTTCCTTGAACTGGAGTCGGGCTGCGATGGGCTGCGATTCCCAAGACGATACATTTAATTAGAGCAAAACAGAAAAAAAAAATTTTTTTTTGGTAAAAGCTCACCAAACTGCTGCACTTGTGTCTCTGAATGTGGGTGGCATTTCTTTTAAAATGCAAAATATGGTCTGTGAAGGAGAAAGGAAGAGGAGGGGAGGTGGGAGTGGGGAGAAGGAGCTAGGGAGCCTAGCGGGCAAGCCCTGGCTGAGACCCCCTGCCTAGGGGAGGGTCTTTAGCGGCTCCCCAGCCCGGACTGCAACGGGGCAGCCATCTGTCCAGCGCGTTCTCTTCCCCTCCCCACCCCCACTCCCTCCAAGGCTCGATTTCCTGCCGGCTGAACCCACCTTCCATTTCTGAACCCACTCTCCAGCCACCTCTTCCCCTGCCAAACCAAGAAAGGACTGGTGGGCTCTGCACCCCAAATCCTTCCGCTCCAACAAGGGAAACCGGGGCCCCAACCTCGCCCTGAAATGCGCGGGGCTGGCCCCGTATCACCCGCCAGAGAAGGGCGCGTGGGGGGGGAGCCCATTTCGCACTTACTACAGGGGAGAGCGCTCCTTTTCACCCACTGCCAAAGCACATGAAATCCTTTCTCTCTCTCCCGGAAGGGACAGCGTCCAATTTTGCCGCGAAAGTAGGGACAAGTCCCACAAAAATAAGGGGATCAACTTCCTCTCCCTTCCAAAGAAGGGAAACCAAACCTCACCGCCCCCCAAAAGGCTGAGGACCCTCCCCCACGTCACCTACCTACGAAAAGCAAAAAGACTCCCTCCCTCTATGGGAAAATACGGGGGTCCCCTCTCCCCAAAAAAGGCAGGGGCTTTTCTCGAAAGGACTGGAGATGCTCCCCCGAGTTCTGCCCTCTGAGAATAGCTAGTAAACACCTCCCGCCAAAAGCAAAAAGTGCCAAAGATCCCCTACCCAAAGGATCCCCCCCAGTAGAAGGATGGAGAAGGGACTGAACGAACCCCCAGTTGGAGTGAGAAAGCTAGAGCGCCTATCCAAGGAGGGCAGGGCACACCTCCCCCAGGAGAAAGGATACTAGCGGGGGCTGGGAGACCCCCCAACTCCAAACCCCTAAGAGTGGGGACTGTAGTTCGAGATCCCCCCAAAAAGGGTTCGGGAGCCCCTCCCCCATCCCCTTAGCCAGGCGACGGGCAGACGGGCCCGTGGCTGCCAGCTCCGGGCGCAGGGCAGCCAGGACCCCCGGGGGCCTCCGCAGGCCCCCCCCGCGGCCCC